TGTAAAGTGTTTCCTTCCTAAGGAGAAGCCAATGTTGACTCAGTAAGGGTGGACATAAAGAAAGATTTTGCAGAAAGTTTACAGCTTGCACTTTAGATAAGTTTTCTCACATAATTGAGACTGCCTTTTCTGTACTAAACACCTGCTCAATTTCCCATTATTCTGATTTTAAGTGATTTCAAAGCAAAAGTATCTTGGTAAGCCTGTGTACTCAATACACATTGCTACTACCTATGTTTAAAAAATTACAGCTGTCATTGGAAGTCCACCTCTCAATCAATGTTTGTCACTATAATGTGACAGAACAACTCTGCAGGCATTTATCATTCTAATTATTGATCAGCAGTACATTAATCTCTGTTCAGTCCTTTTGTACAAGGAAAAATAAGCATTATACAGTGTGCTTTCCCTTGGGAGATTTAATATTATTGTTGATGGCACATTATTAAAATATGTTAATGGATTTTTCTTTTTCATATAAGTCATGATTTTGAATACAGATTCCTCATTTATATAATACAAATATATATTATATATGTCTAAAATATTGAATATATAGTTTTTATATATAAATATATAATACATATATAATACGTATGTACATATATATTTATACAAAAATATACAAGTATTAATATATATGATATACATATGTGAAATACATATATAATACAGAAAACCTCATACAACAATGAGGTTCTCTGAAATTTCATGGAGTATCAGACAGTAAGTCTGCCAGTGAAGGCAAATCTCTCCTTGCAGGCAAACCTACATGAGATCTTTGCTGGGACTCCATTCCCCTCAAGCCCTCAGTCTCTGCAGGATAAAGACCTTCCAGATTAGTCTGTGCTTCTTTCTAGGTTGGGTGTGCTTAGGGAAGTAATACAGTGACTGTAATAGTCATAACAGAAATCTGCATTTGATTCTGCAGAGAGCATCCAGGAATGCCAAGGCAGTAAGAGTTTTGTTTCCTTAAGTCATCCCCTCCTCTAAGGGCCTTTCTATGGGATTTGCAGCACTTTCTTGGACTTTCATTTTAACAGCTATAAGTAAAATCTATTATGAAGGAAGCTCTGTTTTTTTTTTTTTTTTTTAATTGAGTAGTTCATATTTTAAATAGGTTCACCTTTTCATTAAGACTTTTTGATCTTTATGATGGAGGAGCTGGAGGAACTCTTGGGTTATTCCAGGGGGACTGAATCTGTTTGCTTGATTTGCTGTTTGGAGAGGAATCTTATATTCCAGTTTTAATATTCCAGGAAAGGTTTTGACTGTCTATCAAGGTATTCTCATCAGTCAAAAGGTTTCCTTTTCTCCTCCCTTTGAATTAACATCATAACTAATGACAGGTAGTGGCAAAGCTTTGAAGACAGAAGTCACTTCAATCCTTTATAGTTAGCAATACCTCTCTCTTGCCATGCTCATTCAGGCAGTTCAAAGAAACAGCACAAAAAAATGTTGACATCTAGGGTGTGTGATTCATTCTGCACTGTTCAGCTGTCAGGTTCAGATGTTTGCAGCTGTGACTTTCAAGACGCAAATTTGCTGCAAAGTCTTTACCAACGGAGCCAGAGAGGTGGAATGGCTGGGCAGGGAACACGGAGCAGAGGATCTGGAGAGGCAGGGGAAACCTAGCAAGAGACTGGTGGCTTTTAAATACCACAGCTGGTTGGGGGAAATAGCAGATAACAAATCACTTTCAGATAATTCAACTGTTCTCTCCAACCAGCTATTGCTGTAATTTTTTCATAGTTTGAAAGGGTTGAAAAATGTTCTTAAAACTTTGTATCTGCTAATGAACAATATAATGTACTTGTCTGAAGTTTGAAGAGTTGTGCCAGATAATCTCAATAGGATATGTTTATTAGGTTGTAATAAATATGAGCTATTGATACGAAGTATAACCAAACCAGAAAAAGCTGCATAAATTATACAAAAAGAAAGGAACCTCATCTAAGAAATTTGAAGAAATAGTTTAAATGACTTGATAAGAGAATGAAGACGTAGGTTATACCTGCATCCTCCTTTTCAAGGTCCCTGGTAGACAGAGGGCACTGGGCAAACCTTTGTGACTTGTTGTAGAAATAACCTGTCACGACACTCCCTGGAGCCCACCTTGCTATAAGAAGCTGTCAGCAAAGAGCAGTGACTGAGTAGGCAAGGCTGATTGATGCTTTGGCTGAGCAAAAGTGCTCTGGCACTAGCTTCCTCATAGTGCCAGTATTTCGCAATACCTTGGTCAACTTCTCCAAGAAGAGTTCTTATGTTTCTTGAATATGTAGCTGTTAACCTATAACAAAATGTATGCGTACACAAGCAAAATAAATTATTTCATCTTTCTTTTTCCCCTCATTTGTTTCTCCTTACTCTCTTACCAAAAATTTCCATTAAGCAAGTATTCATCATGTGGCAAGTGTTGGAAATCCCAAACACCGACACAACAGCAACCAGGTGAAATTAGATCAGGGCAGGCAAAAGAAATTATGAAAGTTTCAGACACTGAATGTTTATGGGGAAGCTGCAGAGACCTCAATACATTCAATCTGAAGAAAAGATGAAAGAGAAAACACAGAGTTTACAAACAAGTAAAAGACTGTTGGGAAAGGAAATCTATTAATCTGTCAAACCTGAAGCTGCAACTTACATCACTACAAAGAGAATGGATGTTAATATTTCCTCAGAAGAAAAAAATATTCAGGGAAATCATATTCAAAGCAAATCACTTGTGAGGAGCTGCTTCATGAACTTCTTTTAAAGTAGAAATAGGTTAAAATCTTCAGCGGACAGATGGAATATTTGTATCTCAGACTGGTGAGTACTGGTGACAACAGCAGGAGAGCATTAGCCTTTTCTGCAGTGGGAGCTGATGTCAATTTTTTAGAATAATTTTGAGCATTTCCGTGTAAAACATTTCCTTGATATTGATGGGACCCAGGACATTGCCAACACACCCTTGACTATGCTGCTCTTTTCCTGTGTGACACAGAAGCTTCTTATGGCTGAACTGAGGTTTATAGTGGAGTGCAAAAAGTACTGTCTGGCTCGGTTTCTGAGATGGGTATGGACTTAATACTCTGTAGACTTGTCTGGACCAAGCAGCTACCTGGTCCATGGTTGTTTGTAGTTGTGATGGACAGAAGTGGATAATTCTTGCTGTCTGAAATCTGCAGGAGAGAATCATGCATTGGTTTGTGAATGGAGCTTTCACCATTCTCTCCAAAGCTCCTAAATATAACACTGCTGTATATATCAACATACTATTGACTTTTAAAGACTTTTTAAATCTGGTCTCTCACCAGAGAGGAAATAAAGACAAAGAACTAATGCAATACATAACTCTAAAAGCTGTTGCAATGTTTTTTGATGAAGGCTGGAATTGAGATCTGTTGCACTCCCATGGATTAGCTCACAGGCCCACTGGGAAGTACAGAACTGGGAGCTGCGATTTGTGGCATATCTATGCTTGTCGCCCTCACAAGCAGTAGTAGGCTTTATTTCCAACTATGATACACTGTTTCAAACATATTCTCTCCCTTTTAATTTCACAACCCCTGCATGGTAGTTTTCCTCATAAAACTTTCTCCACTGGATTAACTCATCCTCTTTCTTCCCTCGCAGCATTCATTGTAGCAGGTTATTAAAATATGTAGTCTGCTGAAAAATTGGGTGTACAGCCAGAGCTGATCTGTGCTGCTCCTTTTAGTGCAACAATTCTTCAGTCCTGTTGACAGCATTTTATAGAAGACACAGTTGTGTCTTGGTTTGTTGTTTCCTTTTATCTAAAATAAGGGAGTGCAAGCTGAAATTATGCAATTGGTGTCCCTTCAAGAGAAGAAACTGCAAATAAGAGAGATGTTGTTGGGTGCGCAAATTCAAGAAATCGAACAAATTCACGATGAGCGCAAGAGGTTTGGGTCTCTAAGCAGAGCAAGCAGCTGCACAACTAGTCCTGGCTGAGGCTATACTGGAAAATTAGTGAGGCAAGACACTGACAACGCATATCCCATGCCACAGTACCAAAACTTGGCCTTGGGAATCTAAACACTGCCTCCCCCTTCTCCGACACGTGTACTTGTACAAACAGTTTATCCATGAAGATTACATACCTAAATGAGCCACTAAACTCTGGCATGGAACTCTGGGGTGAGTTTGGGATGAGTGAGTGAACCTGGGATGCACCCGTCTGGCCAGATATCTAGAAGGGGTGGGAAGAGGTGAGATATAACTACCCTGGTCTGACTGGTGAGGGGAAGAGAGAGAAGGGGAACTGTACAGCTGCATGGACAAGCATGCCCGTATAGTGTCTTTGGGATGCCATCCACAGCAACAAGCAGCCCAGGAAGGGAGGTGACTGCAGCCTTCTAAGCCCCACCTATACATATGGTGATAGATGGTTTCATGGTTTCGTTTCAAAAGCATTGGCTGAGTGGCAGGTGCACCAGCACCAGCAGCAGCCTCAGGACCTCGGCACAGATGTGGCAGGCAGGGGGCCATGTCTGTGGCCCACAGTCCTGGTTTTTGATGGCAGAGCTCTGCTCGATTGTATCCTGCATTGTTTTACCCCTAATGGGTTCTCACACGCAGAGAATGTGATAAAGGACAGAGATTTCCACCAGCACCAGGACCCTCTTGCTTATGGTATGCCAGCTTGAAGGTCTCAAATGAGCTGCCCTCTAAAGTAATATGTTTTGAAAAAGAGTCTTGAATATCTTCCACTTGGGATGATTTCCATTCTGGTTACACCTACAGTTATTTAGTGTGCAAAGATGCATGCCAGGGTGTGAGAAGACCCCAAGTGCAGGAGTTAGGGGGAGCAGAGAAGGGTTGGGGCAAGGAGGGCTGAAGCCAAGCGTAGAGAATTGGAAGGATGCACCATGCTGAGGACCTTGGCAAGAGCATAGATGAGGGATCACAGAGCTTGGTGTGGCAGGTCGTGGCATGAAAGGGAAAGGTGAGAGAGCAGGGGTATGAGGCTGGGAGCCATCTGTGCTCAGGGGTACCTGAAACATGGGGTTGGTGTTGTCCAGTCCTGGGTTCACCCAGGGTCCTGACTCTCCTGGCAATGCAGCCAGCAGCCTTGGGCAAGCTGCCTTCCTTTCTAGCACCACTGCTGGAAAGGAAAGGGGGAAAAGGCTTGAGGTACCAGCAGAAGGGCAAGAACCTTCATCTGAAATTTATTGTGCTGTCTTCAGAAAGCCGCTCCATTCCTTGGTTTGCTGATTTGCAGACCTGCAGTGATGCTGCTTACCTTCCTCACTGGAGCGCTGCAAAGCTCAATTCATTAGTATTTGTAGCCTATTTTAAAACCCTTAACTGAAATGTGCTAAAGAAGTGAAACACATTAGGTACAAAGCATGTGGATATTATTGATGTTCGTACAAAATATGCTTCAATAAAAACTTAATAACTTACCAAGAGGAAATAAACCCTTGTGTTACCTCAAATGCACTACACATGGCTAATTTACAATTCCTGGCATGTTTCTACAGAGGAGAGACAATCAGCACACATTATTTCAGAAAAGGGTTTTACAGATAAGCAAAATGAATATAATTAATAGTATTCTTAGCCAGCATAAATCAGCATCACTCCTGTAATTGCCCGGTCACTTTACACTACCTGCGTAGCTGGGCCAGTTTTGCTTGGTGTGACCAAAATTACCAAAATGAATAATTTTGCTAGAAACATTTGGCAGTGGGGCTTACAGAGGGAACTGCTGATGGACTGTGTTTCCCCAGATAAATTTTAATACTCAATTTCAGTCAGACAGATTATACCACCTTTGTAATCTTTTTCTGAATTAAAAGAAATTCTTTGAGAGAGCCCTTGGGAATTGAGGGCACAGTGGTATTGTGATCGTTTGGAAAACTGCCATAATTACTTTTTCTATAAAAAGAATATCCATATCACACATTGTGAAGGACAGAATTTTTAAAGAGATGACAAAACCCGATCTGAGTGGATTAAAGTTGAAGGGCAGATATTTGATGGAATATATAAAGTGGGTTTACTTTTGTTGCACTGCAATATACATTGTAGGCAGCCCATGTTTGTGCAGTGAGTTGAAAACTCTGGGTCCTGCTTGTAGAGGTAGTTCTCTGGTGTCTTTCTGCCTCTTAAGAGGCAGAAATGATGAAAATACTTTTTAGCATGCTGTTGCATGGTTAGAAGTCATAAATAATTGCAAGCATATTTTGTGAAGGATGTTCAACTAATCATCAGGAAGACATCCTGAAAGATTTTTTGCCAGTTTGAGCTTAAAAAAAAAAAAAAAAACGAAAAAAAGAAAAAAAGGGAATTGTACCAATTGCTGCTAAAGGTTTTATCTCTTCTGAGGAAATGCGGAAAATTAAAATTGTTATTTTCTAGGTTGTGGGTTTTTTCCCTATATTTTATGTTGTGGTCTTTATTTTACTTTATATTGTTTTAATTATCTGTAAACTACAATTGAAATAGTTAAGCAAAAACAGTTCAGAAAATTGTTCATCTCTCTGACAGAGACCCTCATACAGATTCGTAACTTTCTGTGCTCTATGCAACCCTCATGACCTGGCTGAAAGCTAAGCACATAGGTGTGCAAAGCTCAAGGGCTACCACCCTCCTTGACTTTCACTCACCACAGCAAGAATTCCTTCCTGTAACTATATAGGTCCTCTTTTGGGTAGCTGTTTTTCTATGTACACCCCCACCCCCAATTTCTCGTATCACATGAACTTGTTTCAGCTTCCTTGGTTTTTGGAGCTTGTTCAATAAGCACATCCTGGCATCTCCCATCCCAGCATCCTGCTCACCTCCCACTCTCAGCAGCTCATTCTCATCCCCAGACTACCCACTCCTTGCAGCAATTTGCACTCACACTGTGAATCAGAAAAAGAATGTGGCTGAGAGCAATTAATTTCTCAGGTTATTTTTCAGCCAGTTCAGTCCCGTAGCTAGTTCATTGAATGTTGGCACAAATGATTTGCCAACCCCAAAGGAAAGGTGACTGGGAAGGGACCCAGTGGCACAACCTCTGCATCAGCAGTACTGAGTATTCCACCTTAAGGTCACTTTCTGAAACCAGGGTACAAGTGTGATACCAGTATCATGCTATTTTTGTCCTGTCAGAGTGCCAGGTTTTTAAGAAGGAAGATGAGGTCTTATCCAAATGTGCATTGCTTGTACTCCTGTGATGCTGAATAGCTTGTCCTTGGTACATGCAATGGGCTGCAGGGAAAAGGGACCATCAACATACCCCCATGGTGGGGCTGTCCTACCCATTCCCAGCTTTCTATCAGATTATCAAACTGATATGCCAGCTGATATGACAGAGACTTCATTTTTAGTTAAATCACTAAACTGTGTATACTGTGTGCTTTAATTGAGTAAAGCTCAGAAATGGAAGGTCTGGGTTCCACTACTCAAGTGTCAAGACAAAAAAGTCCATGGAGATAACTTTGTCATGAACTCAGTGTTTAAGCTGAACTGCATCAGTGCTACGAGCCAAGAATATCCAAATGCTGCATACTCCTCCCCAATTTTTTTCTGATATCAGCTGAGCATTTCATGTTATTTTCAAAAAAACATATTTTTATCACCATAACTGATAAAATGCAGGAAAGCACAACAGAATCGTAAAATATCATCCTCTGAATGTCATGGTGCAAAAGGCAAATGAGCAGGATTCTATTTAAACTATGAAGTAATGTGCACACCTACAGTACAAATGTTCTTCATCAAGCATCATATCATCATAAAGTTGATGGCAGGCGGAATACATTGTATAACCTCTTGCAAGAAGTGAGATACAAATCCCAACACAAGGAAACAAAAGGATAAGAATTCTTTATTTTCATTGAAGGATAATTTTCTGCACTTTCCCAAATGGAAGAGGGGAGAGGAAGGTTCATTCAAAGGATAGAGAAACTTTGTAGAAAGTCAGCATAAACACCACCAAATTAAACAAGCAATTTAACTCAGTGTCCTAATGAATGAATAAATACAAATGCCAGCAGCAGATGCTGAAAAGCAGTAGCAAAGAGTTATGTGTCAAGTTGTGTCCATTACAAAATAATCAAGGAAAAATAATGAGGATATCTTTACTTTTCACATTGCTTTAATTTTATTCATTTTATTCATTCATAAAGTCATTTGTGTCAATTCATAGACAAGAAAGACCATGGATAATGTGACTGGTGACATTATTCAGCATCTTCCACGTAAAGGGGAGTTTTATTACTATTCTTCTTATTATGACTATTATTTACTATTGCTATAAACATTTACTATTGGCCACAGATGTGCCAGAAGAACAAGGGCAGCAATGGTGTGTGTGCATGTGTATCAATCATCCTAAAAATTAAATCGTTCTACATTTTAATCTTACTTGAGTCATTTAGTAAAACCAATAACTTCATGCATAGTAACTAAGCATGTAAAAAAGATATAAAAAAAGAATAATACTAAAAAAATAAACAAAAAAACAATTTTAAATGTGGTTATATATATTATAACATGGTTATAAGAGTGATCCAAGAGTGAGTAAATCAAAACAAAATCATGCAAGTTCATTGCAGTATGATGTTCCTCATGCCATTGGTCAGTAAGCTCAATATCTTGTTTAATGAACTTAGTCACAGCTACACTGGAGCCTTTTCCAAAGCAATTCTAAGTCCTTCTCAAAAAGTAACTGTGTCATGTATTTGCAGACTAAAATTCACCTGAGAACCTACCTTGAGAGGACACAGAATTGATTGCATCATCCATGTTTCATCCAGCTGTTTATCAACGCAGAGGGAGCAGGAAGGAGAAACTATGGTTTGCACCTGAAGGGACACTTCTTGTTAATTCCTGCTGATTTCATTCTGGTGGGGAGGAACATAAGCACCTTTCAGACAGTGTCCTAAACAGCGACACAAAAATGACAGTAAATATACTGGGCTACAGTCATTTTTTTCTCAATATCTAACATTTTTTCTCTATAAACCCCTCTCAAAATGGGCTTGCAGGTAGATGCCCAGGCATCTGCCAGGCACTCACTACAGGGGCCTCTGCTTCCCACTGTATCTCAGCAGAGACAGCATGTTGCTTTGTGGTGGAGATGACTTTTTCGGCAGTCTTGGCTCTAATCTGGGTTTAAGAAAGATCCTCTGCAGTCCACAAGACACCCCATCACTGGCTGGAAAAGGAGGTGTCCCAGAGGGAGGAGGCATTGCTGGCTAAATGTTCCCATTGCTACCTAAGCTACACGACAGGGATGGAAACAAGCCATCAGCTATGCTTCCCACAGGAGCTGTTCCCATGTAGGGACACGTTTTCAGCCACACCATGAGATGCACCCTCCAGGGGATACCTCTTCCATGTGCCCTGGTCCAGGCTTACACAGAAGTTTTGGTAGAAGCCACCGGTATCCTGATACACCTGATTCAGAGCTGCTGATATGCTGGGGACAGCTTTGGACAAGCTTGTTTACAAAATTGGATCTGAACACCCAAAGTCTAGTGGCAACGCATTTCAGGCTCCCCTGCTTGATATGCTATTCTAAGCCCAGATTTTCTGACTCCTAGTTCAGCCATCCTTTCTAATAAATTTTAAAACAACATTTTTATTGTTGTTATTTAGAAGGTTTCATTTGATCCTCACAATTCTCCCATAAGCTTTCACATCACTCAATATTAGAACTCTTTTTGGCAGGGAAATTGCAGTTGATGCCTTGTTTTGTTTTTCTTTTTGTAGAAACGAGCTCTGTTCTCTTTTATATCTATAAGGACATTCCACATATCAGTGGTGATACAGGCCTGAAGTCATGATCCAGCATAGGAAAATGGCTCTGTCCCTTCATAAAAGATGAGGCTTCGAGTTAAGGAACACCACCAAATCAAAGGTGCACCTTCTTTTGTGTGATTTTGCTGCAAAGAAATAATTTTTTCCCATTAAGAAAACAAATGATGAATGGTCAGGTTATTTTTATTCTAAATTCTATTTTATATGAGGTAGTCATCAGCAAATTGGGGATGCAAGAGCTTCAGTGTTTAAAGACAGAAGGAATCATTAGATCATCTAGTCAGGCTTCTGAAATATCATATGCCATTAAGTTTTATGCTAGTGCCTTATATTAAATCCAAAGGCTCTAGAAAAACTGAAGAATTTCAGGTGCTTACATCTTTTGAGGAGATTAAACTGTGTGGATAGTTTGAAAACATTGGGGAAGGGGGTGGTATTTATTTAAAACACGAGAAAAAAAGAGCACAGTGAAGTGCAACTATTAAAAGTAGAAGCTGGACTTTTATGCTATTTAACAAAACTCTGTCAAGGAAACAGGGACCACAGGAGACACAGTTATTGAAGGAAAAGCTCTTGACTGTCCTGGCAAAATGTATGTGAGGACATTTACAGGGACAGGAGAACACACACACCAAAAAATAAAATCAGTAGAACAGATAGAAATCAGTGTGACATTTCTATTAAAAAATTGATATTAATTTAAACCCTATTGCAGATGGTTTGGATAGGCTCCTTGTAGCACACAACAGGACAGACTGTAAATCCATTTAAGCCCATGGGAAATCAGTACTGCCTATGACATCCACTGAATTTCCACTGAACAGTGAAACAGACCCTCTTGACAGTACTTCCTCTGCAAGACTTGCTGTTTCTTGTGCACAGCCCCTGCTGGTGAGAAGACAATATCTATAATCTTCATTTTTTAAAATACTGGTGATCTCTTCATTTATGAACGCATGTCACATCCAACATCAAACATGACGAGTAAATCTGGACTTGAACAATACATGTGGCTAAGCATAGGTTCTGTAATGGGCTTGCAAAAATATGGGAGAGCTCTTCAGGGGAGGTGGTTCAGGGATAGCCTGATGTCTGAGTCTTGACCACATTGTGTTGTTCCCTTCTCCCTGGAACCCATAGTGAAGCATAGGGGTATTCCATTACTATTCTATTCCATTCAATTTATATCCATTCCATCCCATTCAATACAATCGCATGACAGATAAGACATCAGAAAGGCAAATGCTAGTCAGATGGATATGTGCAGACCTTCATTACAATAATCTCATAGTTAGGTAGCTGCATTCAAGAGAATTGCTCAAGGGAAGAACTGTGAAGAGCTACTTTGTCATCTCACTTCATCAAGGCCCATTTTCTTTGATTACAGCTGAAAGGACAGAGGAGCAAAGTTTATACATGACATATTGAACACCCTGAGTCTTTACTCAGGAGGAAAGTGGCTTTAACATCTTTTATCAATGACTCTGCAGA